TCTCTACAGAAATGCAGAATAATTCCATCAGTTATAGAGGACCACAAAAAAAATGCCACAGAAATAAGGCACATACAGTAGATAACATCATCACCTCATCTCCTCCCCGTGGCGGGAACATCATGTAGCAGGGAGAGGCGGCGTGCTGTGTAATTAGGAAGCTGCTCGCTGGGTCCTCCCGGCTGAGGCCCTAGCACTGCCTGAACATGTGCCTGAAGGCTTCTCTGCCTCACTCCAGCCTCACTGCCGGACGGCCAGCGGGGTGGGCGGCAGCCGGCCCCCTCACCATCTCTTGCCCTATCCTGCCACTGGTCTGGTGCCTGGGTCTGCTGGGCCCCCCCCAGGCTCAGGCCCAGGTGCACCTGCATTGGCGTAGTTCCACCCCTGATTGCATCCTCTGTTGTTTATTCACATCCTGTGCCCCACAGGTGCATTACAGCCCAATAGACGTAAAGTCTTGCCAGTTAAGCAATGAGAGGCCACACTGTCTGTTAACCCAACATGGTATCCCCCCGACTATGTAACACGGTATCCTCCGGTCACATCACCGTCCACCAACCGCAGTTAGCCAAGATTGATGCGTTTCAGGGGCAAGCCCCTTTTTTCTACCCCACAGTCGGGGGGATACCATGTTGGGTTAACAGACAGTGTGGCCTCTCGTTTGTTGTTAATGCCGGATGAAAACGTTTGTTTGTGAGTACTTTTATCCCTTGTTTTATTTATTGCAATAAACGATTTTACACACGGAGGTGGCGCTCTGTTCCCTTTTGGTTTCTATGTTCGTGGTGCAAGCCCCAGAGCCTTGGATGAGCAGTCCCTCAAGTCTGTGTGAAAAACTGTGATAAACTGTTGAAAACTTTGGGGTCTATTCACTAAGCTGCCGTAGGCAGCCGAGTGAATGAGCGACCTAAAGCGAAGTGAGCCGAACGCTGTTCGGCTATTCACTTCAGGCTGGTACGGCTGATTTCAGCTGTATATCGGCTGAAATCAGCCGTACATCGCGTGGCTTCGGGTCGGCCGAACATGCTCAGCAAGGAGCAACATCTGGATCGACAGGCTACTCGCTGCTGTTCGATCTATTCTTATAGATGCCGAACTGCAGTGAATAGCCGAATAGACCAATGCTCGGCTGTTCTGCTCGGTTCCTCTGTGGGACCGAGCAGAACAATAAAATAGTTAAAAAAGTAGAAAAACAAAAATAGAAAACGATTGAGCGGAGCTAGCAATGACAGCTAGCTCCGCCCAACAGTTTTCTATTGGCCGGCAGTTCTGCTGCCGTAAAAAAAAAAGAAAAAAGAAAACTCTGCCGGGCGCTCCGGGAGTCTTCCGCTCCCGGCCGGCAAGGAGAGAAACACTGCTTTTTTTTTAGCCATGGGAATGCATTGCTAGATTCCTATTGGCTATTTCAATTTGCAATAGCCAATAGCAAACTAGCATTGCACCCGCCCTGTGCTGCTCTCAGTAGTGGGGACCTGATGGGGAACTGCAGCAGAGGGCGGGTGCAATGCTAGTTTGCTATTGGCTATTGCAAATTGAAATAGCCAATAGGAATCTAGCAATGCATTCCCATGGCTAAAAAAAAAGCAGTGTTTCTCTCCTTGCCGGCCGGGAGCGGAAGACTCCCGGAGCGCCTGGGAGAGTTTGCTGTCTGGAGATCAGTGTCCCTGGTTAGCTGCTAACCAGGGACGCTGATCTCTCTGCAAGTGGCCAGAGCCAGCCAAGTTTACGGCTGGCTCCGCCCAGATGTCAGAAGCAGGCTGACGGCCGACCAGCTTTGGTTTTCAGGGCGGCTCAGCCGAGTTCGGCTCGACTGAGCCACTCGGCCAAGTTCGGGAGCTGTACGGGTTATAGTGAATAGCCCGTACAGCAGCCCTTCGGTTCTACTGAACAAGAAATCAAGCAAACATATTTCAAGAAGATGCCAGTCTGAAGACAGCTGAGATCATAAAAAGTCCATAGGAAGCCACCATCATCTGATCAGCCAAAAAACTGGGACTAAGCAAGATGCCACCTGAAAAGATTTAAGGATTTTTTTTGAAATTAGCGGAAATACAACATCCAAACATAAAAAGTAACTTTGGTATGCCCCACCCGTGTGGGCAACTCTGAGATGGATAAGGGCACATACAAATTATGAAACATGGTGGCGTAAATAAGGAGTAAACCAATTATACAGTATGCAAAGTTAGGCTGCTGCCCAAGTCAGACTAAGCAAATACCCATGGGCAAGAGAAGGATATAGCGAGAGAAAGAAAAGAAAGAAAGATTTAGGGGAGGCAAGAAGGGGGAAAGAGAGAGCAATAGATAAGTTACCAGAGCTGTAAGGGCCATTAGGCTTTGCAAGTGATCTGCTCCTGAAGTGAGGGTATGAAATCAGGACCCACCTCAGGACCCCAGCATATTCCAGAAAGTCTTAGATGGGCAAAATAAGACCAGCAATACCCCCCACACACACAGAAATCGGTCTGTCCTGCCCAGATCCACAGCCACCAAGTGTTCCATGTGCATCAAGTCATTCATTATGTCAGCCCATGAGGCAAGAGATGGAAAGGTAGATATTTCCACTGTCTAGAAATCATGGTGCAGGCCGCTATTTGACAGAAATGCAAAATATCCTTAAGTAACCAGGGGTCATGGAGAGGAGAGCCACCTCCGGGGTAGCCTTTACATCAGTCCCCTGCATTTTATTGTATGCTTGAAATAACTGCTGCAGGAATGGTTGGATCTTCTCACCACTCCACCAGATATTTATATAAACTCCACGGCACTGAGTGCACCGCCAGCAGACCTCCAGAGAGCATGGGAATATAGGGTGAAGTATAGTTGGGCATTTGTACTATCTGGAAATAAGTTTATATTTTTTTCTCCTGAAAATAGCTAGAAATATATTTTGAGTGTGTAAGAATATAGGCCTTAGTCCAGTCTGCCTCAGAAAACTATCTACCCAGAGAACATTCCCATAATGCCTCAAACAAGGGTTTACCATGGCAGGCCGCCTCTCTCAATAGGGCATATGTCACCAGATCCACTCCTAGGGGATTATGTGTGGAGGTGCACAAGCATTCAAAAGAGGTAAGTTGATGGGCCAGTACAGCTTGCTTCGACAAAATTGGAAGACTGCACCTGAGGAACTAATGTAGAAGAGAGTTCTCCTGTGGAGGGATTAAGTACGTGCCTCTCTTGTAGTTGCGAGATGCGAGAATGTGCATGAAGACAGGCCTGAGGCTTGGACAGAATGGGTGTAAGAGGTCCAGGTCTTGGAGATAAGCCATAGGAGATGGACAGAGCATCCCATTCTCACAGAAGGGATTCAGTGAGATAAGGGAAGGGAGAGACAGATGGTCGGTAAGCAGGATCGACCCAGGGGAGGACTCACAGGACAAGAGGTAAAAAAGATCTTCTTCCAATAGGGTTCCTATATTGCCAGATGGAGGTTAAAGCCAATCAAATAAATGAGCTAAAACTTCTGCCCCGTGATAAAGTTTGAAGTCAGGAAAGCCTAGGCCTCCAGCAGATTTAGGTCCAATTTATATTTTGGTGTTTATTCTAGGAACAGAGGAACCTCACATAAATTTTATAGAAGCCAAATGTAAACCATGAAAGAAGGAAGTGGGAAGAGGAATGGGTACAACCTGGAAGAGGTAGAGGAGACAGGGGAAAATGCCCATTTTAAGAACCTTTACTCTACCCAGCCATGAGAGAGGGAGAGACTGCCAAGTGGAGAGATCTGAAAATATACGATCAGTCAGCTTTCTGTAGTTAAGGTCAAAAAGCATATGGGGGTCTGAAGCAATGAGAGTACCTAAGTAGGGAATGGCTTTCGGTTGCCAATGAAACGAAAACACAGTCTGGAGACGTTTTAAGACATCTGAAGGTAGGGAAATATTTAAAAAGTCAGATTTAGAGGTATTCCCTTTGAAATTACTAAGATCACCAAATCAAGCTGTTAGGGTTCCAATTTTAGCGTTCCCCGGGATTTGATCGTGCTACCAGCCTCAGACAAGTACTTGGGAATAAAGAATCACACCAAATTGTGTATCCACTCTATATTAAAGGGTTTATTGTTAAAACAAAAGATCATATGGACAGTGAAAGGGGTCAGTGAAAGTGATGACAGAGCATAAACCAATGGAAAGACATACATGTATAGAAAACTAATTATAATAATATGGACCATAGAGGAACTACAAAGAAGGAAATGAGCTGAACACCTTCAATGCTATATGTTTCTTTTACACAAAGATAAAGAAAAGTTATTATCATTTTGGAAACAACTAAACTAGTTTCTGTAGAAAACACAATTTTCTCTTATTCAAACATTAACTATGTGTATACCAGAAGCAGACAAATGGGGTAATTTTGCCATTTCACAAGCAAACTCTTGGAGGATGTTGGGGATGCTATCAGTAGAGATGGAAATATATAAAAGGAGGTAATCCACATAAAAAGCAAGCTTATGATGGTGGGATCCTAGTGGAAAACCTTGAATGGACGGGTTTTTTCATAATGCTTCATTGTAAGAATGATTTAAGAAAGTTTTAACAGAAAGTTATTGGGATTTTAAAAATGTAGCGGTTAATCATGCAGTGAGGGCACAATTTCTTAAAGGACTAAAGCCAAAGAAGGAAATACTAGAAAAAGGACTTTTTCGCATTACAGGACATGTATAATATATTTGTTACATTGACTAAAAGCATGTAGGCAAAATAAACAGTGACATTTTGTATATATTAAACTCTGCATTTCTAAATAAGGTGCATTGCAGACACAACCTGCCTCCTATTAGTTGTATTTAGGCTTTAGGAAAACAGTAATGAACTTTACTCTTTAAATGTCTAAAATTATCCGCTTTGTCCTTCTTATACCGGTAATAATAATTTTCCACAAACTGAAAAACAAACAAGTTACATGTGGAATGTTTCCCAGCGCTGGTGGCCAGACTATAAAACACCAGTGCACCAGCACAGGGTTACTAAACGTAGTTGGACAACCAGTTCACAATGCTTAGACTGCTAGTGCTTGCCGCTCTTGTCCTTTGTGGTAAGCTCTTTCATTGCCAAATATGTGTTGACAGCCACCAGAGCTCTCATAGCCTTTCTTTAACATCAGGCAGGCCAGGAATCATACTGTCCACACATGTTGCAGTTATGTAATCTGATTTGGGTATCAGTACAGTCAGTAATATTCACTTGAACTGCACTGATTTTCTATAATTATGTTTAAAAAAAAAAATCCTTCCTCATGAAGGATTGCTCACCTAGACCCCCACTGCTATCCCTGAGCAGAGAGCTAGCAGGTCCGGCCAATAGTTAGCTCAGAAGACTGAACTGCTCTCTAAAGAGCAGAATATGCTCTTTTTGCATATCTATTGTTTTTGTGTTTAGACAAGCTTTACACCATCCAATATTGTATACATCTAGTGAAATGTTTTGTTGCCTACCTTGATTTTTACATACTGTCTCATTGGCTACTCTGATTGTCTACCACACAACAATCTACCCATCCCCAACTAGTGATAAACCTGGAGAATCTGTAATTATCTAACTGTATGAAGCCCTCTTTTTCTTCCCACAGGACACTGTGCTGACCCCCGATTCATTGAGGACACTACAAGAGTTGTAGGAGGTTCAAATGCTGCTGCAAATTCCTGGCCCTGGCAGGTAAGTCCCAAGTCTTGGGAGATCAAAATTGCCCAGGACGTTTCATTTTCTATATTTTTGATGTCACTAGTTGATTCCACTGCTGTCTAGCATGGTGGATTGCATTAATGTATGTGTTCCCCTGTTTCTTTAATTATGTACATAATTACTGCCATACATGGAGTCGGATATCTGTGAGCAATGTGGCTTGTTTGAGCAATGCTTATGATGAACAGACTGTATTAGGGTGAAGTAACTGGGAGCCCCAGTTGTTTTTCTTTTTAGATATTTTCCACCATATTTTGTCCCAAGGAATACTTTTTCTGTACTGCCAACGGCAGAGAAACACTGAGACAGGCACCAGAACAAACACAAGCAGATCACTTATTGCTTGCTTCTCTTGTGAAAAAAACTGCCCAAAAATAGCCAACCTTAGGCTGGCTACAGATGAGCACATGTCCTAATTTATTAAAACAAAATCTGGGCTTTGCCCTTTCTTCTAGTGCACATCACTAAATTCTTTCCAAATTATGTAATCATTATAATTAGGTAACTGTCTTCAGAAAAGAGTAGACAGCCTGAGTGCATGTTAAAGGTCAATCCAATAGGCATAATATGCAGCATCTTGTATTCTACTTTGTTTGCATTATTCCGGTTAGCTAGGCAGATTTCATGCATTATACAGACTGTTCATCATTAACCTTTAGATTGGCTGTTATGCTACATGTGCAATCAGTCCATACATATCCAGAAGAGCTGACAACATTATGGGCTTCATTTATAAAGGTTCTTCCTGGCTATGCTGTTAGGATGGCACTGGCACCCCTAGATGGTGCTGATGAGTTGGAAATTCCTATACTCACTAGCACCATCAGGGGGTAGAAGTTTGATAAATGCAGCCCCATGTGACATGTAATAGAAATTATTGGAAACATGGTTACTTAAGTAGTTGGAATCATTTACTCACTACTGTACAGTTATGTTAGTATTCACCTCAGACTGCATGTATGAGGTGATAGAATGTTTATTTGTAAAGGTCACTAAACTCCAATGTGAATCCATTTATCAGTCATAATTAAAGGTTATCTAAACCCAAAAACAAAAATGTAATATAATGCAGCTTACCAATCTTTAAATGCATCGGCTGCATAATTTGTTTTAGTCTTTTTTTCCTTTATTTTCACCTGATGATCCAGCCAGACCGAGCTGTCCAGCACAAGTGCAAGTTAAAGGTTTGAGACAAACAATTTACTCTGACAGGGTTGCTTACTAGGAATGGGCATAGGCTTGCTACAAACTAAGTTTGCCCAAGTTTACTCAAGCCCCAAAAAAACTGTCAGTGACACATCCCCTTCCAGGCCCAAAAAGCTGCTGTCTAGGCATTCCCTGACCCACAGCTACCCAAAACAATGCCCTGGCCGCAGATTCCTTTTCACCAGAAGAAAATAAAGGAAAAAAGCTTGGAAAAACCCCTAGTGCAGCCACTACATTTAAAGAATAAGTCTACTTACAGACAACGTGCACTTATTTATTTTATTGCTCCCCTCCCCTGACCTAAACAGACCCACCCCTACTGTCTGCAGACCTATACTTACAGAGATCCAAGGGCCACTGCTCCGCTGTTTATTGACATTTAGCGCTGCAAGTCTCCTTCTCTTGGCCACATCCATCTCCCTGCTGGCAGGTGGCCCCATACAATTCTAATGTGCAGGTGTGGCCAGCAGAGAGAGCATTGCAGTGCTGGAAGTAAACGATAGAAGTACTGTGTCTGTTGCATCTCAATGAGTACAGATCTGCTGAGGGGAAGTGTGTGATCTTTTAGCTCGGGTTAAAGGACAAAAGGTACTTATACAGTGGCGTTACTATAGGCATAGCAGCCCAAGCGGCTGCTAAGGGGCCGCGGGGGTGGAATGGGGCCCCATTAGGTTGCTGAGGCAAATTAAGAACATGTGAAGATAATACAGTACTGTATGATTAAGGGTTGGAGTGGTGGCAATTGATGACAACTCTAATCCACTGTAAAGTCTACAGTGTAAAGACAAATTAAGATACACAAGAGGAGGTTTTGGGATCTTGGAATCGTTAACCACAGTTCAAAGAGAGGTCATCAGAGGGGCCCCATCACATTTTTTCTATGGGGGGGCTGTGATCTGTAGTTACGGCTCTGCACTTATCCTTTAAGAATTGGCAAACTGCAATATATTACATTTTTTCTTTTGGCTTTAGATACACTATAAGTGTAAAGAGTATGTTATTTCTTACTGTATACAGAGGCCCTAAATATACAGCATGTTTTAATGATACACTCTATTCTGAAAGAATTCAGCATCAGTATCTGCAGGCTTGTACAAACATTTTATATGCTTCAAGTAGTCTTTAAAGTAGATTTAAACTTAATCTTTTAAATATCATATAAGCTTTAACAGGTCATTTCAAAAGTTATTTTTAATATGTTTAAATCTGCAGCTTTTATTAACATAATACTTGGTGATCCTGCACCTATTTAACAGTGGCGTCACAAGGGGGGTGCGGGGGGGGGTGCGGCCCCGCACCCGGGTGACACCATTGGAGGGGTGACACCAAAATGACTTACAGTCATTTTGGTGTCACCCCCCTCTGAAAAGTCGGGCACTTGGTCATGGACCGAACGCCCGACAGTATCAGGAGAGAGGAGGGGACCCAGCTGCATACCTTATCCCGCCGGGTGACTGTCCCCTCCTCTTTCTGCCGGCGTCCATCACCAAGATGGCCGCCGCAGGTATCAGAATACTGCCGCGCATGCGCGATGACGTCATCTCGCACACGCGTGGTGACGTCACGCAAATGCGCAGTGACGTCTCGGCAGGGTGACACTCGGACACCGCTCCGGGTGTCACCCAGCCTCGGGACGCCCCTGTATTTAACCATCCCGTTACAGGGTGACAATACTCTCTCGCTGTCCCCTAGTTGTGTTCTTGCATTGTCACCCTGTCACATTGGCTTTCAACACACATACACAGCCATGCCCCACTGTTGTCACCACCTGGTGATCTGTCCTGACAAATGTTATGCAGCCATCGCTGGAGCACATGCTTGTAGACAGGAAGTAGCTCCAAAGAGGCTGCGGCAGATCAGAAGCACTAAAATGCAACAAAGCATGGAAAAAAGTGAAAAAACTGTTGGGATTTTATTCTTAAAAACACTATTGTTTATTATACACAGTGCAATAGCAAACTGAATGTCACTCAGTTATGATTTACATCTACTTTAAAGCACTTTTTAGCTCTAGTCAGGGAGTGCTGGATAGAGATCAGATACCTATGCTGAGAGGAATACAGAGGTTGCAATTGGTTAACTTCCTTTGAAATTGCTATTTGCCTGCCTGTCTTGCAGATCCAATGGCTTCAACATCTTTGGAGCCACCGATTCGGAACCAGCAGGCAGGCAGTGAAATTAGCAGACCTGAACTGCATACAGCTAGCGAGTCAAAGTACCGAAGCCACTAGATAACCATCTCAGCCAACTAGTATTTTTAGAAGGAGAGTTCAGCAGTAGCAGTCGGTGAGCATTTCTTGGTTTATTAATCAAGAACAAGTATTCATGACTGTTTATATATGCATAGTTGTTCTAGGTCAGTAACTCAGGAAGAATTGAAGCTGCAAAAGGGTTAAGTGCTCATTTTGGTCTATGGGCTAAAATAAAGAAGATATACTCAACTGATCTTCAGTACTGCGGCAGTGACTGCTCACCTTGCTCCCTCTCCACTCCAGCTGGTATGTCCCTTGGTGTCTTCATGTCTAATGGACCTGCATTAGATGTGATGACCTCACGGGTCCTCGACCGTTGGAGACCAGGAAAGGAGAGGCTAGACAGGTCTAGCAGCCAGGCGAGAACGAGGATCAGCCCCCTAGGCCTAAACCAGCAGTTAATCCTTGCAGTGCGATGATTGCCCCACTGTAAGTGTTAATTTTTATGATTCCAAGAGTCCAAGAGTCCTCGCAACATTGTCTTTCAAGAATTATTTTATTTTTGATCTATAGACAAAAGATGTAAAAATGCATTTTTTTTCTGATTTGACTAGTGTTAGTTTTAGAAAAAAGTAGTTTTACTGAAACACAGTACTCATATTCTATAATTCAACACATTGTTACACTGTATTACTCAAGGACACTTACAGACTATCTGCAAGTGTCATTTTACACAGAAGCAACTGTATTTTGACAGCCGCTCATGCTATGTAATACATAACAATTCCCAGCTGTCATTTTAACAGCCGGGAAGAGTGGTGTCAGGGGGAGAGGAGCCAAACATAGGGTACTTGCTAGGGATATACCGATACCGATACTACTGTAGTATCGGTGCCGATACCAAGTATTTGGGCGAGTACTCGCCCTCGCCCAAATGCTCCGATACTTACCCCCGATACCAGAACTTCCGGTCAGAGGGAGATTTCCCTCTGACCGGCAATGCTGTAAAGGGAGAATGGAGGGCATATCTCATACAATTAATAGTAAAAGGAACCGTTAGCTGTAGCTATATGCATATTTTTTATCAAAATTCAAACTGGTAATATAATTAACATACTCAAGAAAAATATCTGGTAAGATTAGGCTAGGTCACAGGGATGAAAAACCAATTCATCCTTTAAAAGCATCATTGAAATTTAAGGTGGAAGAAAAGTACATGTTCTGATATAAGACGTAAAACAGAATGTTTGCAACAGATGCCACAGGCGTATTATTTGTGTGTGTGTGTGTGTGTGTGTATTTACATATTTCTCAATTGCTGATGGAAGTATGTACAGCATACACATCATTTCATGTTTGTATTATCATCCATTATATCACATACTTGTATATATATTAGCAATATCTATTTAAAGGATGCCATAATGGAAAGATGTTGATAAGCAAAACATTGCTGCACTGTAACATTAAATACAATTTTCAATTGAACTTTCATACAAAAACCTCATCAGAACATTCGATAATGCCATCAGAGACTTTAAGAATCTCATTCGAAAATTTTGTTTGATGTTAACATTTGATTTTGGAAATGAATGGAGTTTCTCCAATTAAAACCACAATTACTGTTAGAATTTCGTTTGAGAAAAATATTTCTGCTCCTATGATTTTTCATCAGTACGGTTAAAATTGATCATTGATTTAACCTTATTAACGATTAAAAAATCAAAGGGGTTTTTTTAGAACAAAATTCTACTGGTGAATAGCGAGCCTAATTCTAAGAATAATTAATTTCAACAGATTTTTTATTATAATGGCATGTTTTCTTTATCCAGATCTCTCTGCAGTACCTGTCTGGCAGCAGCTGGTACCACACCTGCGGAGGTTCCCTGATCCGTGCTAACCGTGTCCTGACTGCTGCTCACTGTGTGGACAGGTAACAAGGCATACATAGAGAGAAATGCTCTTTTTTTTTGTAATGTAAATTTTAAAAAGGGGGGAGGTAGAGTTAACAAGGGCAGTTGCCAAAAGCACAGGGGATCAAGGGTCACAAAACCACAATGGGAATACAAAATTTGATGGAAGCCTATGCTGAGTAAAATACACATTGTCAGTGCTAGAGATGAGGCTGGGCTTGGTTCGCCCCAAGCATGTTTGAAACTCTGGCTGCCACCCTCTCCTTCTGACCCAATCAGTGTGACGTATAGCTGCGCAGCAGGAAATGCGCCTCCCTGCAATTGACTGGGTCCAGAGGGGGTGGCGGTCAGAGTTTTCAGCAGGCTTGGGACAAGCCCAGTCTAATCACTAGTCATCGCTGTCCTCTTTTACTGAAAATGATAGTTGCCTTGTTTGTATGCTGTTTCAGTGGATTCAATACTTTGACCTGTAACAAGAATGCAGATCAGGAGTTTTGCCTTAACTCTGACTTTGCTGTATCCACATTGGATTCATGCTTGTTCTGGGTCAGTGACTCAAAAAGTATATAGTCATCTTTACAGCCATACACCTACCATTTTCATCAGAAGGTCAGCAATGTCAGCCCCTACATTTCCAACATTTCCCTTAAAGAGATTTGTGCAAACAGATGATAACCGAAGCTAATTTCGCACTAATTAGATTTTTACCAGAATTGCCAATACCATGGGTAATATATGGAGAATCTGTAATACATATACCAAATGAGCATTTGCATGAACTTTACTATTAAAGCTAGGAGGACATGGCTTATTTTAGAAAGGCTAGATATTATTTTGGATATATTGGGACTTCTACATCCTTGTAATAATAGGAACACTATGTTTCTTGAATTTCTTGGAACTAAGAAATAAGAAAACTACTATATTAACATAATAAGAACATGGGCAAACACTGACCATCATCAATGATAGCTATGTTTTTTTCTCATTTCTCATTTAACATATGCATACACATACAAGTAGCATTCTTTATTTCCCTTCTACAGAGTTGTCTCCTTCCGTGTGGCGCTTGGTGATCACAACCTTAGTGTGAATGAAGGAACTGAACAGATCATCGCTGTGTCCACCATCAGGAAGCACGCCAGCTGGAACCCTAACAGCGTGGCTGCTGGGTAAAGACATATTGTGGTTATCTATTTCTCCATATCATCTTGATATCATCATAAATGAACTGATGAAAAATATTTCAAATGCATACAACACAGAAAACCAAAAGTATAAAATACTCTGGGGTATATTATTTAAGCAGTAAATGTGACAATCACCAAATATTCACTGCAGGTGTGTCTTCCTGGTGCTTTAAATGACAGTGATTTATTAATTTGCAATGATTGTGTGGTGAATGTCACACGCTTGCTCTACATACTGACAGCTGAGGGATCATGTAACCGCTAGCTGCTTAGTTCACCTTCTCCTCCCTGCAGAGAGCAATAACTGTCAGTCACCAATCCCGCAGGGATTCCCCCTCTCCTCCCTGTTCCTCCAGTGCTCATTGGGGGGACAGACATAAGAAGGGGTGAGCACAGCTGATTCTGGCACTACAGAGGCAGAGCCAGCTGTCAGCTTATTTTTTGGAATCCTTCCCAACTGCAGTGTGGCTCTGCACTGTCAACAGCAGGGAGCAGCCCATTATATGCTGGCTTTGAGTACCAGGAGTACATTAGTAAATATACTGCTATGGTCCAAAAGAGAAGAAATGCCAAAAAAAGGTTTTGCTTTACTTCTCTGCTGTGCAAAAATTCTTGTGAAGGTGTGAAGTTGTTGCCCATAACAGCCAATTAGGTTTCATTCATCAAGCTGAAGAAGTCGATATTGACTGTTAAATTACCAACCATTCCATTAGAAAATTAAATACAGCTACAAAGAGACTGCCAGGGTCAAGTAGGTGAGTTGTGCTCAGTTGTTCAAATAATTTACAATAGCTGACTGTAAATTTTCACATCTGGTAAAAAAATCAGAAAAAAGAGACCTTTTGCCTCAGTGTATTATGTGTGTTAAGAGTGTAGGCTGCAATTTGTAAAGAATGACCTGAGATTAGTTGGCAGAGATATGGAGTAGCAGTGTAGGTGCATTGTGTGCTGATCATTTAAAGAATTGAAAGAAGAAAGTGCCAATTTCTGTTGGTTTTAGGTTTTTACTTACTGTACCTGAGCCTCCATATTGTTCGCCCTTTTACTGCAATTGTCACATTTGTGTTAATTCCCAAAAATGTAAACCGCTACACAACAGCATACCCCACTGACCTTAGACAATAGAAATACATCAGTCACAGTCGAAGCAGCACTTGTGTCTTCCAAATGGAATAATAGAGTGCAAAAGCAACATGAGGGTTTCCAACTCTCCTATATAAATGTAAATGCAAATGTACAGTTTGTAGTACACCTCAAGTCACTCATTTCAAAGTAAGCAGAGTAACAACAGAAACAGTTTTCAGCAAACCATGCTCTTTGACAAGCTAATTACTATTACATTCCATAGATATAGCAAACAGACAGGAAATTACATCACACTTGTAAGCATAGCTACATCTACAAACATAGCCCATCTAAACGGAAAACGTGTATACATCAACTATTCCATCCAAAATGTCAGATAATCTAAAAAAGGTTAAAATAGTTTAAACGTTAAAATGGTTAAAATAAGCCTAATTAGCAAAAAAAATGCTATCCTAAAAAACAAATCTCATACAAAAGCATACAGATCGTATATTCGAATTAACCGTCTGGGAGTGTGCTGAGATTGTGTATACAAAACATTTATTTTTTGAACAATAAGATATAATCGCCACCTCTACGCAGTTTGGGAAAGTGGTCTATTATTTTAACCCCTTCGTGACGGGAGACGTACAGTGTACGTCCCGTCACAAAGTGGCTATATGACTGGCCACGTACACTGTACGTGCCGAGTTATATTAGCCTCTGTAATGCCGGTAACTGCTGATTCTCAGCAGTTCCAGTCATTAATTAATGCCTCACTATTGAGACATTCATTAATGAAATAGTTAAGCTTTTTTAAAAGCTTCTTTCTTTCATTAATGAAAGAATGAAGCCTTTACATTCAGATACGGGTTCGCTAAATAGCGATCCCGTATCTGACAGCTGAAGATAGCAGAGAGGTAGCAGTGACTCACCTCTCTGCTATTCGTTTTGACAGCTGGAGAGCCTGGCCCATGTTAAATGATACATTTCAACCAGTTGACATAGTGAATGACCTGCCTCCATAAAATGTCTTACCACAAGAAGTTCTATGTGGTTGAAAGTAGGGATGCAGCGATACCGATACTAGTATCGATATCGGTGCTGACTCCGAGTATTTGGGCGAGTACTCGTACTCGCTCCGATACCTAGCACGAGTACTTCTGGTACCAGGAAGCCCAATTGGCCGGGAAGTGGCTCCATGCTCTCTCGTCACTTGTGATGAGAAAGCATGGAGCCAACTTCCCGGCCAATCAGGAAGCCGGGCAGCGTGTAATGACGCGCTGCCCGGCTTCTTGATTGGTCGGGAAGCTGGCCAATCAGGAAGCTGGCCTTGTGAGGTAAGGTTACCTTACCTTAGTATGTGCAGCCTGTCACCCCCGGGGGCCTCTCCAGCGAGAACGCGGCCTTCCTCGGGTACCAAGCTGGAGCAGTCTGGCCGGCCAATCAGGAAACCTGGCCCCGTGTAATGATGCAACGCCCTGCTTTCTGATTGGCTGGGAAGCTGGCTTCATGCTCCCTCGTCATCTCGAGTCTTTACACGCTGCCCGGCTTCCCGGCTAATCAGGAAGCCAGGTGGTGAGTTATTACACGCCACCTGGCTTCCTGAATGGGACTTCCGTTACTCGGTAATTGGTATCGGCGAGTACCGAAAAAAATTATCGGTACTCGTACTTGGTACAAAATACCGGTATTGGTGCATCCTTGGTTGAAAGGAATAAAACACTTGTGTTGTCAGATTCTGTCTCATGGTTTTTGTGTGGTTTCCCCAATACATTTTAAATCGCCCAGATGTAACACACATATGTCGACTGACATGTCAGGAAGTGCCTTTGTATACACAGTATATATTATATACTATAAAAAATACATTGGTTTGCTTTTTAAGGATGTGGTAATTATTTTATATCATGTGATCTCTTTTTAGTTTTGATATTGCCATCCTCCATCTGGCTTCAAGCGCGAGTCTGAATAGCTTTGTTCAACTGGCTAGTCTGCCAGCTGATGGCGCTGTATTGGCCAACAACTACGACTGCACCATTACTGGATGGGGAAGAACCTCCAGTAAGTATTTTTGTAAAAGAATCATGTGAACAATTTAATATTAAAACATACCAAATAAGAAAATGCACCTAACAATCAGATTGCACATTTTTGAAGATGAATCAGAAAACAAGTTTATATTTTTGTGTGGCCTACTATTTAGACAAACATTTAGACTTTAGAATTCTTTATAAAATGTGTTCTCTTACAATGCATGCCAAGTGCAGCATCCACTTTGCCAGTCTGCTTGGCCCTGCACTAATTATCTATTAAAAGTCATGTAAATAATACAATTTGTTTTGCTTTTACCTACAGCTGGCGGATCTCTGCCTTCCATTCTCCAGCAAGCTCCACTGCCCGTTGTTGCCCACGCAACCTGTTCTACCAGCTCCTACTGGGGCAGCACTGTGAAGACCTCTATGGTGTGCGCTGGTGGCAATGGAGTTCAGGCTGGTTGCAATGTAAGTTTTATGTTTCTATGTCATCTTTTTTTATTCATTTATTTTTTCCTTTATAAAGTAATATTTATCACTTTTACATCATATTCATAGGGTGATTCCGGTGGACCTCTGAACTGCGCAGTCAGTGGAGTGTTCCAGGTGCATGGTATTGCTAGCTTTGTATCCTCCCTTGGTTGCAATGCTTACCTCAAGCCCACTGTGTTTACTAGAGTGTCCGCCTACATCTCCTGGATCAACAGCGTAAGTATTCCATACATATCAGTATATATTCAGGGCTAGACTACTGTCATCTTCACAGTTGGCATAGATATGTAATGGGAGCTTTAATACATAAAACTGAATGCAAACACACTTAATAAACTATTAATAACCCAGTCAACATAATGTTGCAGTTAACACTAAGCCAAATGAGTTGGTAACATTAAAAAATGACTTTTACATTTTTTTTACAATTTCTACTTTCATAAGCGATTATAGTTAGTCCACACATAACAATTATTTTGGATTTAGTTAGATACAGGTAGAGAAAGTTACCTAACATAGCAACATGCCTGTGAAGAACTAAACCAGTTAGTTCACAGTTTCTCCCACTTGCTCGCGCCAGTAGGAACTGGTCTTCCTCCTACTGTTATAATTAACTTTTTATACTAGAGAAAGAAGTAAGTAGCTTGATGCTCCACTTGCTATTGGATGGAAAGCTTCAGTGGCCAAAAAGAATGCATGAGAGGCAGGAGAAGGAAGGCCAGTTATCAACCAGGAAGCTGTGTCAATAAGAGGACACCAGGATTTTTGGGTACTCTGAACACGCTAGCTTCATGGCCCTAAGGAGACTTTACAAGGTAAGGTAAGCCCACGGATTTGTTTAAGTAGCTTACAGGTCAGTAAGCCCAGGGGTCAGTTTAAGTAGCTCGACATGACCTAAACCTGAATTCATCTGTTGCTATCAGTACACCCTGCTGAAGATATATATCACAACATAAAAAACAAATGTTTAAAAAAAGTGACTCTTCACTCCCCAAACACAAATACGAAACTGAATTTTAGCAAACTTAATTTGCAGTATCCAGAGATAGCCATTCTAGAAAATAGTTTCAGTCATTAGGGAGTTGGTTGCATATGAATTACACCCATACAGCTCTAGATTTATCTGTCATGGACACTAGCCATATTTTTCTATCATGGCTATCACTACAGCATGCTCCCCACCTGTCTAATTACGAAGCATTTCAGTCCCTCTCTCCTCTATGCAGCAAGTGGCCATAATGGAATGGTGCAAAATAGGTCATCTGGCTGCCAAGGTAAACTCTGTGTGGAACTACAGCATGAACAGAGATTGTCTATAATTTTGGGCTCTAACAGCCATTTTGAGAAAGCTTGAGCCTAAGTGTGATGCTACGGGTTACCCAGAACACAATGAGCAACAAAGCCAATGATCCTAGGTGGGTTCTGCTCAGGGGAAAAGGTTCAAAAGTAGCAACAACAGAAAACGTCTCTGACTGTGTGCTCCAACCAGTGGCCATTTTAGGGAGGCCAAATTGTAATTGCCGTTTCCAGGGGAGAGTTCTCCACTTATTCCTTCTGAGGTTAGTTTTCTTGTAGAAGCAAATTATATTATGTTGTTAGCAATAGTCAAGGGCTAAGCTCTGAGCCCCTATTTTTAACATTCTGGAACCCCAGGAAGTACTGAGGACCCAAACATCTAAAACTAAGATGTACATGACTACTTTAAATCCAATAATGCAAAACTAATTATGATTAACTTAAATGTGTATGCTTCATTTTATTTCAGAACATCTAAAGGAAGACTATGGGAAGCAAGGCAGATGGGATTTTTGGAATCCATTGTATTAGTATCGATGGAAATATCTTTGCATAAAAATGTGAATAAAGTTTGTTTCTCACAAGGATTGCTGTCTAGTCCAGTTTTATACAAGGCTTGGTAAATAATGCATACAAATCACCAAACTTAGATTTCTAAGTTCACACAAGCAAAATAAACTACAATCACATAACCTGTTTATAGAAATTAAACATGGGGGTGTATTGGTTCCTAAAGTAATATGTCTACATGGCTCCAGTTTTCCTAAAGTAGCTAAATGTCTTCATTTGATTTCACTGGCAGCTTTTACAATGACATCTCAGTTTATGAGAAGTTAAGAAGTTAAAACAAAAAAATTACCCACCTCTCGGTTTAATTGTTATCTGTTAATCGGGACTCTTTATACACTCTCTTGAACGTCGAAAAGCTCTCTAAACGGTGTGATTATCCAATCAGTTCCCTGGCATCTACAGCTTTGGGAACTCATGATAAGGAGCTCCTACACCTGGGAGTCATGCTTTTACCTATTTTTCTCATTTATTCATGATTTCCAACATATTTTGCAATGGTTTATAGACAACATACACTGAGTGTCCAGATTATTATGACCACCTGATGTTTGTAGGCAAATTAGCTATAATTTTGCGCTGAAGTTGCTAGAGGGCCAGACCATTATAAATAATGAAGCAGGTTGTTTACCACGACAGTAGAAGTGATTTTTTTCTGAAGATATGGGTAAACAACGCGATTTAACAGCCTTTGAACGTGGGATGATTGTTGGCGCTCGGAGCCATGGAGCGAGTATCAGCAAAACAGCAGAATTCGTTAAATGTTCAAGAGCAGCCGTTGTTAAAGTGTTTAAAGACTGGACTGTCAGCCGAAAATCTGGGTCTGAACGTGTGAATTGTGGCCGTCAGCGAGTAGTCAATGTTAGGGCAGAACGGAGAGTGGCAAGACTGGTATAAGACAACAGAAGGGCAACAGTGCATTGTCAGATTCCTCGCATCACCTTACAACATCTCGTGGAGTCACGAGACGGCCCAACGAAGTCATCTCGTGGCCCAACGAAGTACTGATGGGATGGTCATAATAATCTGGCCACTCAGTGTATAATAGAAACATTCACCTTTCCACAACGGATCTTATACAGTGATCTCCATTCTCCTATCATACAGTTACACAACAATCCACTATGGTGAATATTGTCTTGAAAATCAACAATCAACTTGTGAATTTCTGAAGCTTAGTAGGTAACAGCGAAAGCCAAAGAAAACCCATGCAAGTATGTGGGGAACACAGCATGGAAATAGTGCCCTTGGGAAAAATTTAACCGAGGACCCTGTTGTGCAAAGCCACAGTGCTAATCTAAAAGCATATGTCAAAGCAAAAGTTTAAAAAAATCACATCTCTGCAATACATACATATTCCTCAATGTCTTATCTCTTTAAACACACTGCAAGCACAGAGAAATAATTGTTGATATGCCAGAAATATAGTGTGCTCCTACCTTCCTCTTTGACATGATGACACAATGAGTCATCATTGAGTCATAACTTCATCCTTAGGCTGCTCTAAAGCCATACTGTAACCAAATAAAACTCGACCCTGACCACTTCTTAATTATGTGTCTGTTTAGAGCCAGACCGGTGAAGTTTCTGAATATAGGTGGCCTCAAGTGCAGGCCCCTGACATGTCAAGAAGGTTGCATATTAGTTTCGTTCTAATAACTTTGTAAAACATGTCTTACTGCACCTTGCAGCAAAGCATGGTAAACTGTGCACCACTGAGTGCATTTTAAATGACACACTACCGTGCAGGGCTGGATTAGGGGCAACTGATGCCCTAAAAGCAGCCCACCAATGGTGTCCCCCTTAGCCCCTCTATTACTTAACTGATAAGATATGACTCAAAACGTGGTAAAAGTAAAAAAAAAAAAAGTTTCAGGATGTATAAACCTTCTTCAGTTTCCTCCCAGGTCAGCCCCAGGCCCGACCCCACAACTATATTAACCCCTTCATGACTGAGGCCCTTTTTTCAATTTTTGCACCCATGTTATATTCCACATTTTAGGCCTGAAAATGACGTAAAACCCCCCAACATTATATATTTTCTGAATGCCAAGACCCTATAGAATAAAATGGTGGTAGTTGAAAATTTTTATGTTGCGCAATATTAGCGCAACTCCTTATTAAACCCCAAAATTTAGTGACAAATTTAATTAAATGCCCCAAAACACAACAAATTACCCATTTTTTAAATGAAATATAAAAGATGAGGTTACAACGAGTAAAACGATACCCAACATGCCCAGTTTACAGATTGCGTGC